GATATTCTGGGATATGGAGTTGTGTAGAAGGGCTTTGAAAATCTTTCAGCATGCCACCTGCCCATCCACCAACCAACCTAGCTAAAAGAAAGCATTTCCAGCTTCCTGCCATCAATGGTAGGAAAGGAAAGCTCTGCTTTACTTCAAGCTAGCCTTTCTGGGGTCATCTCAACCAGCATGGCTAGGGATAAAAGAAACTGCCCTACTGGTCATCTGAAATGTCACCTCCAGCCACGATCAAGCATGACAAAGAGTCCCAGCCAAATCTCTCTCTTACCCTTGGCTTCTTCCCACCTCTGATTATACAGTGCCATCACAACCAGTTGGTCAGATGAGGAATTGGGTAGATCCGGGTGCAAACTCAGCCACAAATCATGTTACATGGGGCCCTTCCACACAGACCTATCCCAGAATTGTGGATTATCTGTCTTGATATTTTGGGTTACATGGCTGTGTGGAAGGGCACTGAAGCGATGGTCCTCCGCCACCAACTCCGCTGGACCGGCCATGTTGTCCGGATGCCCGACCACCGTCTCCCAAAGCAGCTGCCCTACTCCGAACTCAAGAATGGAAAACGGAATGTTGGAGTACAGGAAAAGAGATTTAAAGATGGGCTCAAAGCCAACCTTAAAAACTCTGGCATAGACAGTGAGAACTGGGAAGCACTGGCCCTTGAGCACTCCAGCTGGAGGTCAGCTGTGACCAGCAGTGCTGCAGAATTTGAGGACGCACGAGTGGAGGGTGAAAAAGAGAAACGTGCCAAGAGGAAGGCGCGTCAAGCCAACCCCGGCCGAGACCGCCTTCCACCTGGAAACCAATGCCCTCACTGCGGAAGAAGATGCAGAGCAAGAATAGGGCTCCACAGCCACATACAGACCCACAAGAATATTGGAAGACAATCATCCCCGGAAAGCGAGGGATCGCCTAAGTAAGTGTCCACACAGACCTATCCCAGAATTGTGCATTATCTGTCTTGATATTTTGGGTTACATGGCTGTGTGGAAGGGCCCTGAGGGCCTTTCCTGACATACCTATATCCCAGAATAACAAGGCAGAAAATCCCACATTATCTGCTTTGAACTGGAATATATGGCAGTGTGGACTCAGACAACCCAGTTCAAAGCAGATATTATGGGATTTTCGGCCTTGGTATTCTGGGATATAGGGCTGTCTGGAAGGACCCTGAGTCTCATTAAGAGAAGAAAGTGGGATATAAATACTATAACCGTCCCTAGGAGCGCATCTACACTGTAGATTTAACCCACTTTGACACCACTTGAAAAGCCATGGGGTTCTGGGATGTGTGATTTGGGGAGGCAGCAGCCCTCTTCGGGCAGAGAAGGCCAGAGTTGTACAAGTGGTGTCAAGCTGCGGTGTAGCGTCCCTCAGGCGAGCCCCTTGGGCCTCCTCCGCTCACCTGGATGTAGCTGTCTTCGTCCAGGACCCTCTTGCTGCTCTTGGGAGGTCCTGGGCCGGCCTCCTTCAGCGCCACGACCGCGCGGGCCTCGGTCTGGACCGGCACCAAGGCCCCAGGCTGCTCCATGGCCGGCTACACCTCGTCGTCACCCCTAGAAACCAAGCTCTCCCCGTCCCAAATCAAGCCGCTGTGCGCAGGCACTTCCGGAAAGGACGGAACCGGAAGTGGCTCCCCACGGCTTGCTCGCCTTTGCGACAAAACTTCCCGCGGATTGGTCGCTTGCCATCACGAGCGCTGCACCGTAAACTACATCAAGGTGAGACTGAGGCGCACGCCCCGATTTCCGGGTTGGTTTGGGCCTGGGCTCCTTTGGGAGGTCCTCAGATTCAAATTGCGCGTGCGTCGCACGGATGCCACACGAAATGAGACAGATCGCGGGCATGAATGTGATTCTTATGATCTTATTTATCACATACGAAAGATGTTCGTGATCGAGGTTGAGTGATTACAACTTCCCGTTGTGCCTGTGTCTCTTAAAGTGATAATAGCCCCCCGCATGAATATAATCCAGTCCTAAGTAGTTAATCTGGATTTCACATGGCAGTGTGGAAGGGGTGACTTTGCATCTACACTGTAGATTGAATAAAAGAGGATGAAGCTAGTGAGGGGAGGAGAAAAAGGAAGGAATGAAAGGGAGGGAGGGAGGAGGGAGGGAGAAAAGGAAAGGAAGGGAGGAAGGAGGGAAGGGAGGGAAAGAAATGAAGGAGAAGGAAGGGAAGTGGAGAAAGGGAAGGAAGGAGGGGGTTGGACTGGATGGCCTTTAGGGCTCCCTGGTTGGCCATCTGTTATGAGAGCTTTGATGGTGTCTTCCTTTACTGGCAAATGAGGTTGGGCTGGATGGTCTTTGGGGCTCCTTTCCAAGCCATGTCAGTTTCGTGTATCCCTATTACCCCCATCATGGCACCTTCGTCCTTCCCTTGTGCTGTGGGAGTGTGTGTGTGGGAGACAGAGAGTCAGAGTGTGTGCACAGAGTGTGGCCCGCCTCCCTCTTTTTTCCTTCCCCCCTTTCTTTCCTCCCTCTCCTCCTCCTCCTCCTCCTCTGCCCATTGATCCCTTGCCTTAGTGTTACTCCTGCTTCAGAACCCTCATTCTGTGTCCTCAGCGCGGGGCGAGGGGCGGGGAGGTGTGTTGTCTTCTTCCTTTTTTGAATTTAAGGGTGTTTTTGTGAGGTTTTCTTTCAGTGATGGTCACTCCTTGGATTGTGAGGAGTTTTGTTGCCAAATTTGGGGTCATTTGGCCCCATAGTTTTTTTGTTTTGAAGGTACTCGTTATGCACAGAGCATTTTTATATATAGACTAGCTGGAGTGAATCACAGAGCCTGCGAAGGTCAAGTAGATTAAAGGAAAAGGAGGCTTCCAAGCCTGGAGGCGTGTCCCGAAAAAGTTTCTTTAGTTTTAAGTGTCTCCCCCCAGGCTGTCTCGTTAGATCAAGCATCCTTTAGACTGAGGCATTACCTTGGCAGAGTTCCCATTTCCCATAGCCTGCATTCCCAGAGGCTTCTAGTTTCCAAGTATGGTTAGTAAGATGCTAACAGGTTCCAGGTTTTTATAGTGTTGCTTTTGGAATTCTGATCTAGTTCAGAGATATTCCTGACTGCTGAGTTTTACTGTGGCATTTTGACTTTGCATTTTCCTCCATTTTGTAACCATTTTTCATCAATAAAAAAGGATTGTTTTTTCCCACAGTCAAGTGTGGTGGATTTAATCTTATGGTCTCGTTTCCTGATCTGGGTTGCAACACTGCCTCACAGAGGGAATCTTCCCAGATGGTCGGCTCCAGCTGGGTGTGCATGGGAAAAACAAAAGACCAAACTGTATAAAAATGTCTGATTTACTCTTGTCACACATGTCAGCTTCTTTGAGTGGCATACCACTGGCTGGCATCCCTTCTGGCCAGAATGAATAAAATGCTGTGGTGGCTTCTTCAACTGGTCAGATTTGTTGATCGGGGAACATTGGGTTATAGCTTCTTAGTCTCGGCAGGCACAGATCCACAGGTGGCATGCTGCTTGTACCCGTCATCCGCTTAATGGATCTCGGTACCGTGCTATTGGGATTCCCTGTCCACAATCCGGATCTCAGTATCTGCTACTGCTTTAAATTGCTTGATTTCACCATTACACTATGTGACACTATTCTTATAAATGTCATTTCCTAATTGGTTCTATAATAAAAACATAGAAAAGGTTTATCTAACTGACACAACTTTGCTGTTGTGAGAGGAACATCATCCTGCAGCACATTTTGCGATAGTTTTTCAATGAATCTCTAATCGAGTCTCAAAGTTTGTGGCCCAAAAACAAAGTTTCTGGAGTAGAACAACTGCTTTCAAAGTAAGGACCTCACAATTAAACAGGAAATAACACTTTCAAACCAGGACCAGAAAATGTTTCCAACGTTGTTACATAACATATGCAACAGCATCCCTTGTATAAAAATGGCAAAATCAAGCTTTACTTTTCAGATTATTTTTAAAATATTTCCAAGCCATGGCTGATTGAACCTATGGATACCGAATCCATGGATATGGAGGGTCGGTGGTCCTTTGGCCCCAAGTCTCTGGAGGCTTCTACTGTATCTACATTATCAAATGAGTGCAGTTTGAGGCCATTTGAGCTGCCACAGTTCAATGCAAAGGGCTCTAAGGAGTGGTCGTTTGTCTTGCCAAACTACAACTCCCATGGTTCCAAAGCAATCTCCTATGGCAGTTGAAGTAGCATTAATCTGCATTCATTCAACAGTGTGGATGCACCCTCAAACTCTAAGAAAACATGGGAGGCTTATGAATGAAAAACAGCAATGTATGCGTGCCATCGGTGCCTTTCCCTGGCTTAATCTGTAATTCCTTTGGCACGGATGAATACATTCATGGCAACAAATAAAGAGCAGAACAAGGTACAATTTAGGAGACCACTTTATACAGGCGAGGATTCTTAATGGGGCATTTTTTAGGAAACACATAAAGCTCTTCAGTAGGATCTAGATGCTGAAATTGAGATATTTACCATTTTGGCCACTTTTATTACATTTTATTACATACTCCCCTTTCATCCAACACAATTCAAGTGCTATGATTCTGCTTTCACTGCCATGGCAGCCTCCTATGGAATCCTGGGGCCTGCTAAGAGAGCTGGAGCGCCGCACGGAACTATGAACCCCAGGATTCCACAGTGACCCAGTTCAAGTGGAAACATGGTGCTAATACCGTATGACTCCTGGATATGCAATGGGATACCTTCCTGGACTTTGCGTGGATACGTGAAACAGTGGGTAATGGCAAAATCTCATGACATGAAGGACCTCTGAGACAAGGATACCACAGAGTTGCACTGAAGGAACTAAGAAATGCCTAAAGAGGACAGACTGAAATGAAAACAAGAGTATTGATCCACAGATACGGGGGCCGTACCCGTATTTGTGAAAAGGCCAACTATCTGTCTTCTTTCCCCCCTAACTCTAACCCAGCATTATGCGCAGAAATAAAAGGGCTGCCCGCATTCGACCGGTGAAACGGCACTCCTCTTCATGAGCAGCTTCCCTCCGAGGGCTTCTTGGGGCCTTGAAGGCCGAGGGCAGAGACCGAGGCTCTCTTCTGGTGCCGCCATTTGGCGCGGCGGTTTTTGAACCAAACCTGCAGAGGGGTGGAAAAGGGGAGGAAAAGGACCGTTTAGCCACAGTTTGCTGCAAATGAAAAAAAGAGAAGGACAAAGGGGGGAAATGGGGAGATAACCCAAGACCTTTTAAAAGCAGTAGAGCAAGTAGGACGGTCAAGGAGTAATAAGGGTGGCCTTCTAAATCTGGACAGCAGTGTGAATGGACACAAAAAGTGAAGCTGTTCTTTTAAGTTACAGTTTTCAGGGAATGCAGTTAATGCCTTTGTTTATTTGGGAAAGGAACTAATTCCAAGTAACTAGTTGCCATGAACAAACTACTTCCAGCCTCTGGTTTTATTCAGTAGATTTCTGTGGTTATTTATTCCCCTATTGACGTATATACCCGGCATTGACTGGGTTTGCATTTCTTTTTGGCTCAGGAATAGCTTCTTCCCTTGCTTTCCCTCATACACCTCTTTCTTTCTTTCTTTCTTTCTTTCTTTCTTTCTTTCTTTCTTTCTTCCTTCCTTCCTTCCTTCCTTCCTTCCTTCCTTCCTTCCTTCCTTTCTTTCTGTTTCCTTCTTTTTCTTTCTTCTCTCCTCTCCTTCATCCATTCTTTCTTCTATTGCTTTCCCTCATACACCTTCCTCTTTTGTTCTTTCCATTCCCTTCTTTTTCTTTTTTCCCTCCTGTCCTTCGTCCCTTCTTTTTTTCCTTGCTTTCCCTTTTCTTCTTCTCTTTCTTCCCTTCCTTCCCTTCATTCCTTCCCTCCCCCCCCCCATTCCTTCCTTTCCTTTCCCTCCCTCTTTCCCTCCTTTCCTTCCTTTCCCCCTTCTTTTCCTTTCTTCCCTCCCCCTCTCGCTTGCTTCCCCTGTAGATCCTCTGGCTATACTCTAGTGCCCTCTTGTGGTTGCTTCTGGGCTCTGCTGGTTGAGTCTCATGGCCCAGCAAAGTAAGTCATTTTAAAAATAAGGCAAAAGTCAAAAGGGATGTGTTTCTGAACTTCACTGGTATTTTAAGTTGGGTAATGGCAGGTCTGTGTGCCAAGTGTGGTCCAAATCTATCAAGCCATGGAGGAGCCTTTGTGGAACAAACAAACAAACATACTTTGATTTATTTATAGATATAGATTTGATACTTTCTGCCCATCATTGCTCAGGGCAAGACAAAGCCTCACCTCAACTCTCTCTTCTTTCAGATGGATCCGGTTGGCCAGATGCTCTCTGGTAATGACATCGGGATACTGGTTTTGGTGGAAGAGGGCCTCCAGCGCCTGCAGCTGATCTTCCGTGAAGATGGTCCGGTGCCGGCGGGTTCGCCGCTGGATCTGGTGAAAGGTTTGCAGTTCGCTCTGACTCCCATGCACACTCTTGCATGGCCTGCCAACCGGGTGGAAGAGCCGCATGGGCCAGGGAAACCTGGTGTCTGCTGGGAAAAGAAAGTTGTTTGGGTTGCTTTGAGGACCAAGGTGGGAGGAGAGAGAAATGGGGCTGTTTCAAATGCCCCTCCCTAAAATGCAAATCCCCACATTCCGTAGGATGGAACCATAGCAGTTAAAGTGGAACCACAGCCTATACTTGCACATTATCAATTTGGCAGGGACTGTCCCAATCCATCCTCTGATGTCCCACTTCTCATCTGCTTTTGAAAGGTCCTGTACTCCTTTCTCCAATTCTCAGCCAGGAACTCTATAGAGCATATAGACAGGCAACTTCAGAGAGTCCAGAGAGTGTCACCTACACTAGTCTCCAAATCAACCAAAAATAGCCCATGCCTCAAATGAAATCCTAAGGGGGTCCATATTCAGTTTGAATTTGGAAAGTTTGGATTTTCGGAGAGGACTACAACCTGTTTGATGGCCAAAATTGCCACTCCTGGAGGCTTCAGGGACCAGAATAATCACTTTTCGGATCATTTTTGATACATTTCTAGAGAAAGAGCAATAGCAAGCACGCTTGCCAAAAGGTCTTTTGGAACTGCAGCACTGTCTCAATGCAAACAAAAGCAGCCGTCCCCAACCTGGTGTCTTCAGGATCTGGGAGAACTGTCATTGTCATGGGACTTGAGATAATAGGAATTGCTGTCCAACACCTCAAGCAGGTTCCAAGCTGGGGAAGGCTGACCTGAAGTGACAGGACAGCATAGAAATGAAATTTGAATGTAGGATCTACTCCTGCTGAGCTGACAAAAGGAAGAAGTGTCTTTTAAATCACTACATTCTCTTGGATGTAGGTGTAGATTTGAACTGGATGATGCTAGCATCCTCCTCAATGACATTTTCCTTTAGTTCCCAAATTCCCAGCATTGCAAGATCTGCCAACTTCCATGTTAGCATTGAGAGATACAGCGAGGCATCCAAAACAAAGGGGTTGGCAAAATGATGAAGGGAATGCAAACACAAGAAATGGAAGAAACTTAGAGATAGTGATGATTGAAGAAAAATTCTCATTAAATAAGTGTTTCCCAACTTTTTTTGACCAGGGACCACTTTGACCAGGGACCTCTTGACCAGGGACTGCTTGACCAGGGACCACTCTCCAACATTAGTACCAAAAGGCTTACGAATCAGTTTTTGGTCAACTTTAGATTTGGTTTGGTTACTTGGGGTGCTGATTCAGAAAACTGCATTTGATAGAACGCATCAGCTCTAGTTTCTGATACAGAACATATGCCATCCAGTAGTCGCCATCTGCTCGCCCACAGAAAACATATTTAATCATCTAGAACTGATGTGGTAGTAGTAATCTTTTGTGGGTAGTCAGCCTCTCCCCTTCTGACATCCTCATTGCCTTGGCATTATAAGAGGGTTTTGCGAGACCAGTTGCTCTCGTTTCCACGTGGTTTCGAGGCAACTGTGTAGTAATGGTGAGGCCGTGGACCATATTCTCTTTCTTGGAGACCACTGGTGGTCCACAAACCACAGGTTGGGAACCACTGTGTTAGACTGAAAGCAGATGAGAAGACTATGCAGTCTTATTTGGGGGAGCAATTCTGTCATTTTGCACACACAAATAACTACCCACCTCCTTTGGTCTATTGTTGAGTTTGAAACCTCAAATCATACTTCCTCAGCCCCAGAAAACCCCATGATAGAGTCGCCATATGTCAGCAACAACTTGAAGGCATACATCAACAACAGAGACCTAGATGTCTCTACTAAGGAGATCTTCTTACTGTGTTTATACTGTTGGTGTCCTCATTCCTTAGTGATGCATGCAAGGCTTTGACCTCAGTGGAAGAAAGCCGGGTGCCTGCAGAAACCAGCCCAACCTTCCTGAGATACACCTTGTACTAGCCTTCCAATTTGTGGTGCCTTCTAGATCAAAGTTTTTCAGCCGCGGAGCCCTTTTTGAAGCAAAAATTTCTCATGGAGCTCCAAGAAATGTTGATATATTATTTTATATATAATGTATATATATCAGGCATGGGTAAGAAAAGCACAAAGTGCCCCTGGCAGATGGCAAGCCAGACTCTGTAGTAATAGTAGTAGTAGTAGTAGAAGTAATAGTAAGTAAAAGTAATAGGAGCAACCCCAGGGACCATCCAGTCCAACCCCTGTTATTCTGCCATGCAGGAAAAGTACAATCAAAGCACCCCCAACAGATGGCCACCAGCCTTTGTAATACTGCTACAACTAATACTAATGCTACCACTACTACTACTACTACTAATAATAATAATAATAATAATAGCAAAAACCTCAGTGGCCATCCAGTTCGATTCCTTTCTGCCATGCAGGAAAAGCACAATCAAAACACCCCCTTTTTTGGAAAGAAGGAAGGCAAGGGAAAAGAGCTTTGAGGGCAAGGAAGGCAGTAGAGCAATGGTTCTCAACCTGTGGGTCCCTAGATGTTTTGGCCTTCAACTCCCAGAAATCCTAACAGCTGGTAAACTGGCACCTGGGGACCCACAGGTTGAGAACCACTGCAGTAGAGGGAGAGGAGCAGGAAAGAGGGGGGAAAGCTGGGAGGGAGAGGTGGAAAGAGGATGAGCGAACCACAGAGCCCCTCAGCATCCTTACAGAGCTCAAAGGGCTCCACAGAGCACATTTTGAGAACCGCTGTTCTAGATGGTTTAGGCCATGACCTCCCATCAGCCACTTATCCTGGAGCTGGCACAGGTGAACAAAGACGGTGCCACGTGGCCCAGAAACCATGATTCTATCCCACTGCACTGCTCACAAATCAAAACTCTCCCCATTGGGCATCGGGTCCTTCAACTCAAAAGACAACTTACCGAGCCAGTTGGTGCTCTCCGGCCACGAATGCGCCCCACTATGAGAGCAGCAGCAACAAGCGCATTGCCCGACATCCACCTCCGACTCGTCGGCTTCCACCTCATCCTGCATCAAACTGGTGGTGAGGTTCCCCAGCGCTTTGGGTTCGCTGTCCAAGACCCTTCGGAAACAGAGCGGGAGAAGCACCTGAGGCCGCCGGTCCCCCGAGCTGGCGAGGATGTTCTCAATGGTGAAGGAGCAGGGTCTCTTGAGGCTCCTCTTCCCAAACTCTCCATCTTCTGGAGTCTCGCCTGACATTCTCCGTAGTAGTAGGAGTAGTAGTAATGGGCGTAGTAGTACCTGACAACTTGTGTTCTATGAAAAGAGACCCTATTCTGCAGAGGTTGACCAAAGAAATCTGTTTTCCAAATGTTGCCCGAGAGAATGATCACGTCGTCTTCTCCAGGTGGCCGGTGCTTCTTATTGAAGCCTCCCAGGCCTTTCTATTTTATGTACTGCCAGCCAAGCCAAAACACACATCTCTTCCCCCGCCTCACCTCTCTCGCCCCCACGCCTCCACCCACCTAAGCTCACTGCTTTACCCCCGAATGTAGCCTAAATATACACATATATATCTATATAATCCGTCTTGGATAGAAAGCCGTAAACCCCCAGGTTGGAATAAAATACATTCTAACTAATCTTGACAGCTTTGTGAAGGGTTAGTGTGGATCTAAGATGGAGCTAATCCCAGCGAAATGACTCTAGAAGGAAATCTGATTTCTCTATCTCAAGTGTATATTTGAGGTGGTTATGATACCCATTGTGTCTGAAGCCTTCGGTTCAAGGTGGGGAGGGTAGAGGGGGGCTAGCGGAGAAAGAAAAGCTGTTTCACCGGCCTAGAAATGGCCCAGAAGGATTAACTCCTTTTTAAAAAGAGGAGCAAATTATCTTTTTTTCCACCCCTTTGACCAAATGAAAGCCTTCCCATCAAAAGGAAACTGTCATATCGTACAACATGGGGATGTTGGTAGACCTGGGGGGGGGGGGCACGGAGGAAGGATAGGGCAGGGGTTTAGCTGGGCAATAGAAAACAGAAAATAACACCAGCGATCCCAACCCTTTTCAAGGCGAGGACTTTGCCTGATGCCAATTTATTTGCTCCTTTGAGACCCAAAAAAGTAGTTCCGATTTGATACTGTTTCCGATCCGCCCCAAAACCTACTTCTAGTTGCCTTGTTGAATGACAAATAGATCAATCCAGTCAGTGGACCTCCCAATTGAACGTCTACAACTCAAATATGGCAAAAATATCTATGACATCTAGATTAAAAAATCATAAACATATAACAGTAAATATCTACACCATAAAAGGTATGTTAAGCTGCTAACATATTGGTCACTCTCAGCAAAAAATCTGACGACACTTTCTGTAACAGGTACATTTTAGGTCAGATGCAGGGAAAGGAAGAACACTTCCCTTGGTCTTTATTTAAACTGACTGAGCAATCCTCCTGGGTTGTATATATAGGTTCCTTCAAGTTACGTATTTACTTATGCTGACTCCATGAATTTTGTAGGGTTTTCTTAGGTCAGGAATCCTCAGAGATGGTTTTGCCAAGTCCTTCTTCTGAAATAGAGCCAACAGCACCTGGGATTTGTTAGCAGTCCTTCTGGTTCTTCATTGCAAATTGCTTTTGCATTTTACGCTTAATTTGCAGCAGCTGAAATAAGCCACAAACAAATAAGTACCAGCGGATGAGAGGGAGTGGCCCCCTTTGCCACATTGCTCAGGATTCTTCCTGACCAGAATCAGTCAGAAGAAACAAGTAAGGAGTCTTGTGGACCCCAGAAGAGAGGTTGTAGCATTAGCATAAGCAAGAGGTGTGCAAAGTGCAACCCAAAAGCCACCTGGGGCACCCTCCAAGAACATTTCTGTGTCCCCCAAGGCCTTCCAGTTATCAAGTCAAATCTGAATTAAGGAGCCCCTATGAATGAGAGAGCTTCCCAACATCCTGAATACAACTGTTCAGTAGCAAAGAGAGCTAAAGTAACAACTAATGCAGAGAAATAGAAGATGGCAACCAAGAAAAAGGAAGAATGAGAGATCTCTTCCACAAGACCTGAGAAATCAATGAGAAAATTAAACCAAGAGTAGGGATGCTCAACAGCCAGCAGTGGTACACATTACATAACCAATACAAGTAAAAATCCAAGGGGAACAATTTACCAAAGTTCTATAGAAAAGAAATGAAATGATGACAGATTATTTCCTGGAAGACCCCTCTGAAGATGAATCTATCATTTTAGAAAATAAAGTGAAAGATATTAATAGAGCTGCTTCAAGCTACAGAGACATGATCTACTCTAGTTCTAACTGAAATCTGTCGATGCAGATGGAAAACAAAACAACAGACTGGAAACATTCAATATAGTCCAGTCCTCTGCTTGTGTCATGTCCAGCAGTTGGTGGTGGCTAGTATACAGAAGGCTTGGCAGGATCATGACCTGTAGGGTGGTGATGCTTCAGAAGGTATAGAAGGGGTTAATCTTCCTCCTAGTTTTAAAGGGCAGAGTAATCTGTAGGTAAGAATTTACAGGCAGTGGCACTGTGCCCTAGGAATCCGTATTGAGCATACCACCCCACCCGGTATGGGCGCCGAACCTATTTGGGTTCGCCCGAAGAGACTTATGGAACCGGTCAGGTTCCTGAATGCTCTGAAGGCCTTGGAACCTGTCAGCGACTCACTGGAGGTGCAAGTGGATACATGGAACACTAAATTATCCAATGCACTCGATGAGATTGCCCCTAGACCGCCCTCTCCGACTCTGTAAGAATTGGTCTCCTTGGTTTACTGAGGAGCTCCGTGCGATGAAACGGGAGAAGAGACGGCTAGAGGTCGTGTGGCGGGAACTCCGTGACGGGGAATCGGAATCACCTCATAAGAATTTTAGAGAGTCTTATGAGCATGCTATCACCGAGGCCAAAAAATCTTATTATGATAGCGTCTGCGAGCTCACACCCAGCACAATTATTTAAGATTATTAGATCTATGACAACAATCCCTTCTCTCCCAAACAATAATGATCTGGCCCCTTCTGCTGAGGTTTTCCAGAGCTACTTCACAGACAAGATCTCGTTTCTCCGCCGGGATCTCCCTGCCACGATTGATACAGTAAGTGAACTTGAGACTCCGTGGCCACTCGCTGGGCCCATCCTCGACTGGTTCACCCTGCTGGATGCAGAGGCTGTCGATAGGATCATGACTGCAACTAGGCCGGCCACCTGCTCCCTTGATCCGTGTCCCTCCTGGCTAGTAAAATCTTGCCTGGAGGGATTACATGAACCTCTGTTGAATATAATAAATAGCTCCCTTGAGCAAGGAGTTTTTCCAGAGGATTTAAAAGAGGCGATGGTATCTCCGCTGCTGAAGAAACCAGACTTAGATCGTTCGGTTCCCTCTAGCTACCGGCCAGTCTCGAACCTTCCGTTTCTGGGCAAGGTGGTTGAGAGGGCAGCAGCGGAACAGTTGCAGCAGTTCCTTAATGACACAGCCGGACTTGATCCCTTCCAGTCCGGCTTCCGTAGTGGGCACGGGACGGAGACTCTGCTAGTTACCATCACAGATCAGCTTTGCTGCCAGATGGATCAAGGCGGATCAGTGCTGCTTGGGTTATTGGACCTCACAGCAGCATTTGATACGGTCGATCACAATCTATTGACCCACCGCCTAGCCATGACTGGGGTTAGGGGGATACCCCTTAAGTGGGTGTCTCCTTCCTCCAGAATCGGGGACAGCGTGTGGTGAGGGAGGGATGGTTTCCGAGAGATCTCCGCTAACTTGCGGGGTCCCGCAGGGAGCTATTCTCTCTCCTCTATTATTTAACATCTATATGCGACCGCTTGCCCGACTGGTGCGGAGCTTTGGGCTTGAGTGCCACCAGTACGCTGATGACACTCAGCTCATTCTGAGGATGGAGGGCCGGCCGGACTCTGTACCCGAAAATTTCCATCAGTGCCTTGAGGCCGTTACTGGATGGTTGCGTGCAGCAGGTTGAGGGTGAGCCCAGCGAAGACGGAGATCCTTTGGCTGGGCCGTCCGGGTGGGAGGGAGATCCAGCTGCCTACCCTGGATGGCGAGACACTATGTCCGTCACCTTCTGTAAAAAGTCTTGGTGTCTTATTGGACCCTCTGCTCACAATGGAGGCCCAGGTCTCTGCTGTGAGCAGATCTGCGTTTTTCCATCTACGTCTGGCTGGGCGACTGGCTCCCTACCTATCTAGGAACGACCTGGCTACGGTGATCCAGGCGACGGTCATCTCGAGGCTTGACTACAGTAACGCCCTCTACATTGGCCTTCCTTTGTCAGTGATCCGGAAACTGAAGCTAGGGCAAAATGCGGCGGCTCATCTGCTCGCCGGGGTGCCGGCAAGGTGTTGTATCACCCCAATTCTACAACAGCTGCACTGGCTACCGACTGAGTACCGGATTACTTTCAAGGTGCTGGTACTAACCTTTAAGGCCTTATATGGTCTGTGACCGGCGTACCTGAGGGCCCGCTTATCCCCCTACCAACCCCAAAGATTACTTCGGTCCGAAGACCAAAATTTGCTTGAAGTCCCCAACATCCGGACTTATCATCTGTCCTCTACTAGGCAGAGAGCCTTCTCAATTGTAGCCTCTTATTTATGGAATGCCTTGCCAGTTGAAACCGAACTATCCGAGACTTACTTGCTTTTCGGAAAGCCTGTAAAACCTTTCTCTTCCGACAAGCTTTCGATGGGTGAATAACTCGGGACTATGTCCTTGTTTTTATTGTATTTTAAAGTTAATTGTATTGTTTTAATCTACTGCTGTAAACCGCTTCGAGCCAAATTGGGAGTAGCGGTATACAAGTCAAATAAATAAATAAATAAATAAAGGGTGGATGTCTGCAAGAGAGAGGATGCAACTCTGATCAGCTGCATTAAAAAAAACCTAGCAGAGACTGCTCTTTGGGAGGAAAGTATCTGCCATACTTGGCTGTGGCTACTGGTGGTGATTCCCACGGGTTGGTGAATTATGGTATCTAGACCTGTGTCATGAACTCTTGTAAGCCTTGTACCTTGTGGAACCTTGAACCAAGAAGATTATTGTATTGGTGAACCTCCTTGTTTGTACTCTGCTGTGGACCTTAATGAACTGACCCTCGATTACTGTGTTTGGACTACTCTTGAACTTTGGCTTCTCCGGCTTGACCCATGGAAAATTATGTTTTAGACTCTTGCTCCTTGGACATTTATCATTGACTCTCCTGCTCCTTGGTATAATTTATTT